ATTTCCAAGACAATTGCAAAAATAAGGAGTGTGTTACTGCGCAAGACAAAGAAATATGTCATTGGTGTTTTCTTATTGCACTGATACAAAATAAATACTGTTTAGTTATTTCTGCCAACTCAAAAAATAAATATTAGAAGCAACTAAAGTTAATGATATTACAGGTGACCCTCGCCATTCATGGGGGATATGTTCTTGTATCCCCTGTGAATGGTGAAATCTGCGAATAAGTCACTGGGTTCACGAACGCAGTCTGCGTTCATGAATTCAGTGCCCCCGGCAGCTGGGGGGGGTGGGTGGGGGGTGGACACAGCTGCTCTGGCAATGGTGGGAGCGTGACAGCAGCAGCGGGAGCCTAGCAGTGGCAAGCACAGAGTTCCCAAGGAGCTCCTTTAAGTGCATTTGAGAAGTAGGTTCAGCATTCATGAATATTTGAAACAGTGAATGCCAAACCCGTGAATAGTGAGGGTTTCCTGTATACAATTTTCAATGAATTGAAGTCTTAACAAACATCAGAAGTTTATAAGTCTCTCTGTTCCTTTTCTCTCCTTGTATGTCTCACACAGGTAGATTTCATATTTCATTAGTCTAAATCACAGGAAAAACAGTACAGGAAACCCTTGCTATTTGCAGGTTTGGCATTCACAGTTTCAAATATTCGCGAATGCTAAACCTGCATTGTAATACACTTAAAGGAGCTTCTTGGGAGTGCTGTGCTTGCCACCACTGCCACACACCCACCACCACCAGTGCAGTCGTGTCCCACCCCAGCCACCGGGGGCATTGCATTCATGAATGCAGACAGCGTTCATGAACACAGTGCCTTATTCGCGGATTTTGCCATATGCAGGGGATATGAGAATATATCCCCTGTGAATGGCAAGGGTCTCCTGTATGCTTTATTTGAGTTTCTTGTATTTATCATTCTGAAAAAAACCTAACAACATTCATATAAAAAAAACAAATTATTTGTTTAAACAAAAAGTTATGCTCAGGGTCAGTCACTGAAAACCATTGAAATTATAACTAAAACAGGGGCAATCAACACTAAACTTAGCTTCCAACAAAAAAAGTTTCACTAGAAACTGCTTTGTGGAAACATCTTGGATTAAACAAACTTTAATCAAAACATGGGGAGTTTTCATGAAACTCAGTTTGCAAGGTGTATTTTCAACCAAACCTGCCACTTTTCCTGTGGGAACCAGGGATTTCAAAAGCAGCTCTCGAGTAGCTCTGCCACTATACACTTTCCAGGCTCTGACACGGGTCTAGGAGCCTGGCGGTTCTGGAAGATTATGATGTAACAATGGCTCTAAAGGTCTGGGCATTAGGCCTGTGTGAATAGGCAGCTATTCGATTCAGCTTCAGATCTGGCTGCTTCAGATGCCAGTGATCTGATCCGGAGCTCTGCATCAGTTTCCCGCTTTGATTCGACTGATTATTATATCAATGAAATATCTATAACTTTGTTGTTTTTTTGTCTGATTTAGATGAAACTCACAGAGATGGTAGCCTATGCTGAGTCCACAAATCCTTCCAAGTTTCAGTAAGATATATGTAGTGGTTTGGGAGGAATTGTACCCCAAATTCTTGAAAGCAAAACTCATGTCATGTGTACGTGTTACACCACAGTGGGGTGAAAACTGCAGGAGCGGTGGCTCCTGCTGAGGCCACAAAGCCTGCCAAGTTTCAAGGAGATAGGTGGAGGGGTTTGGGGGAAACTGCACCTCAAGATGCAGACAAGCAAAACTCATGACATGGGTGACACTGTGTGTGTTAAGGTGCAGCAGGGTGAAAGCTGCAGGCCTGCTAGCCCCTGCTGTGGCCATGAAGCCTGCCAGCTGTCAAGGAGATAGGTGCAGGGCTTCTGGGTTCTGGGGCCCTGCACCTCTAGCTGCTGACAGGTAGAACTCGTGTCATGGGTGCTTGTGCAACTGTCTGTTGGGGGGGTGGGAAGGGGAGACTACTGCAGGCCTGGCCACTAAGCTACTGTGTTACCAGTTACCAATCAATCATGATTCACTCAGGGACTAGCTCAATACACAGTAGCTAGATAATGTAACCAGTTAATGAGCAAGGATTAACACCTACAAAACCACAGACTAAGCAGAGGAAAGAATCAATACAGACAATCAATTGCCCCAAGACAGAGACAGTCAGTTGCACAAGCACCCATGTCATGAGTTTTGTCTGTCAGCAGCTAGGGGTGCAGGGCCCCAGAACCCACCTGCACCTATCTTCTTGACAGCTGGCAGACTTTGTGGCCACAGCAGGGGCTAGAAGCCCTGCAGTTTTCACCCTGCTGTGCCTTAACACACACAGGGTCATCTATGTCATGAGTTCTGCCTGTTAGCCAGAGGTGCAGGACCCCAGGAGTCAGACTTCCCCTGCACCTATCACCTTGAAACTTGGTAGACTTCATGGCCTCAGCAGGGGTGACCATCCCTGCATTTTTCACCCCACTGTGGCTTAACACACACACATGACATGAGTTTTGCTTTCATGAATTTGGGGTACAGTTTCCCCCAAACCCCTACATATATCTCCTTGAAACTTGGCAGGCTTTGTGACCTTCAGAGGGGCCACCATTCGTGCATTTTTCACCTCCCTGTGGTGTAACACATACATGTGACATGAGTTTTGCTTTCAGGAATTTGGGGTGCAGTTCTCCCCAAACCCCTGCACCAATCTTCTCGAACCTTGGCAGGATTCATTCTCTCAGCAGAGACTATCATTCTTGCAAGTTTCATCCAAATCAGACAAAAAACAACAAGGTATAGATATTTCATTGATTCCCCATTATACCCTATGGCCGGATCTCTGAAGCAGCTCTGAAGATTTTCCGAACTGGTTTGGAAGCTCCAAACCACTTCGGAAAGCCTAAAGAAGCCATCACTGTGATTTAGACATGCTGCTTCAACATCCAAAGTGTCCGAATCTTCTCCAGATCTGAAGCACGGTCCGAAGCGTCGCACTGCCCTACTAGGCATCTGAATTCACACAGGGCTTTTGTCTATGTTGCTACCTAAAGTCAGTCCCAAACCCACACTTAAGTCCAAAACTCATCAAACATCCATGTTAAGCTTCCCCCCGCTCTCCCCCGGCCGCAGTCTGGTCTGCTTCTGAAAATTTTCTTGAATTCTGATCTTGAAGCTTAGCTCCTTCCTTACTCTGCCTGTCTGTAGAGTGTTCACAGCTCACTTGGGCTAACACTCATTGTCACAGGAAATCTGCTGTCATGGGATTTTCACCTTTGCTATATTCTATGTCTTGGCTCTGCATCCCAGAATCAGGGCTTGACTGGAATTCTTCTAGGGTTCAGCCTCCCTGCTTCTTGTCTCTCCTTCTCTGTCTGATACACAACTACAGATGTATCAGATCTAAATGGGGAAAAGCTTATATTGGGGTTTCTCAGGGCTTTCAGGTTCTTTTATGTAGACAGGGCCATCCTTGGGGGGCCAGGGGGGAAGTGGGGAAACTACCCTGGGCCCTGCACTTTGGGGAGCCCCGCGAAGCCAGGTGGAGCAGCTGCGGTGACTCCATGCTGCTGCCAGCTTCATGGCCAGCTGGCCACTCAGCACCTCTCTCTCCCCTGCCACTGCTGAATCCACCACCAGCTCCCTCATGTCTGGGGGCGAGGCCCCACACAGGCTGATATGCCCCAGGCCCATGCTCGGGTCATCTCTGCATGTTGACATGGGAGTCTGGACATGTTTATGTCCATCTAACAACAGTGGAGGCTTTCAGAGCCTTCTGATTTGATACACAGACCCAGGAAGTCTTGGAATAACCTTAGAAGTTGGGCAGCCCTGAGACTCAACTGGTCTTGAATCCATGGACTTCCCCATTTTAAGGCAGTGCATATGGCAGTCCATATGGCTCCAGACCTCAGATCCTGGCAGGCTGGCAGCTGCTGATAGACATTTGTAATTGTAACAGTAGTGGTGAAACTGATAATAAGGTAAGATTCCAGTTAGAAACAACCTGGATCCAGGGAAATATATTTCTATCATAAATAAAGCATGTGACCATGTTTCCAAATGGTTGCATATTTTTAAAACTGTCAGGGAGAACTACATCTCTATAAGGGCATCCTTTGAATGCCAATCATCCACAATTTCCTAAGGTGGCTCTCAGATGTACAGTCTGGTTTAAATTGTGGGCCCAGTTCATGGTGTGGCGACTCCTTTCATCTCAAAGTTCCCCCTGCCCCACACCCCAGTGCTGAATGGTAGAAAGTCCCCATTGGCTCCACTGCTCACTGCTTGCTCCTGATGGCTGGGAGGTAAAAAATACAGTTTTAAATATTCCATGGTTTTTACCTCCCATTCAGTCAGCAGCAAGCAACAGGAGGCAGATATTTTGTCTGATACTATAAGGTGGTAAGGAGCTAAGTGACAGAATGAAAAGACTTCCAAACAAAGAGCAGGTAGGGATCTCTAAGAACCACTTATAGAATTTGATTCACCCTTGGCTAGGATGAGACCTTGAAAAACCAAAGAGGGTCTGATGGAAGGGAGGAGGAATGCAAGCTTCCTCATAACAAGCTAAGGGGTGAATGCAAGATTTAAAACACTGTTCAGAAAAGCTTAAATTGGGCTTTTAGAAGGAAATTCACCTCAGTTACCATTCCTTGCCTTTGTTCCTGCTACCTATATATAAGAACTAAATATTATTATGATTAACCTCTTCCCGGGCTGTCTCTTAACAGCATGAGAGCACAACTGATCTATGAAGAATGGATAAGCACCTCTTAACTGTTTCACTGGCCAAAACAAAGAGCCAGTCAATCTAATATAAATATATGGTAATACATAATAATCTAATTTGGAACAAACCACTGAAACTGAAAAATATATATATAGTTGCACAGAATAATATAAAATATTTTACTAAACACAACACAATTCTATTAGGCTTCTGCTTTTCAAGATGAACTTTCTATGCCTGATTCTAAGAGTGACTTATTATGAATGATAACAAGATCAGCAGATACCAACCAACCAAGATGGAATACAGGATGCCTGGTCGATCAGAAGGAGGTTGAATGTTGCGATCCTGATCTATGGCTTGTATTGGTGGAGCGACATCAATGGGATTCACTTGTGCCTGCAATAAATGAAAATATAACACATTTGACTAGATAAATTACAAAGTTAATATCCAGTTCTTCAGATGCAGTACTATTTTTTTCTTCACTCCAGCAGACTCCAGCACACATGCATCAGCATCCCCACCCTGAAAAATGGTGGTGGGGGTACTTTAACTAAAGTTTGTTGAACAATCTTTAAAATGCCCCCACCACCATTTTTCAGTGCATGGATGTTGATGCATGTGAAGCTCCAGGAACTGTAATTAAAGCCCTTCCCCCACCCCAACCCAATACTCCTGGAGTACATGTATAAATGACCTAAGTGAATAGAAGTGCTGCAGCCCCTTCCAGGCAGTTAGTTTTAAAGTTTGGGTAGAATAGGAATGAAAAAAAGGTTAACTGCACTCCCTGGACATGCCTTTGCACATGCATGCACACACACATGTGCATACACACGCACAAACAAAGAGTCAGACACATTCTTCTGAAATATAATATTAAAGTAAAGCCATTGTATAAGTCAGCACATGTATTCCTTACGGTGTTAAAAAATAAAAATTCTTTAAAACACTCTCTCCAAGAAGGAGATATAGCCACCTCCATGTTCTCTGAGCAGCCCATCTCCCACTTGCCAGGTCTTGATCATTGCAGTAATGTCAGTGTTATGTCACCCGAGTTCTCAAGCCATGATTATGATGCAGCACTCTGGGCATTCACTATTATGATTGTCCCTGAGGGTCCTGATGTTCCAGGTTCCAAAAGTAATTGTATGTTTTCGCTGATTTCAACTTCAGTAAAGATGATCCCACTGGATGCAGTTATCCAGTCAGGAAGATCAGCTATATTTAGGGCACCTTTTTTAGCTTCCTCTCCACCTGGGGTGAACAGAGCAGGTCCTGAGGACAGCTGCTCAACTGCAGTTACAGTAGCCGAATCATACTCCTTCCTTGTCCAAGTGCTATGTGACCTTCTTATAACTGTTGGCTTCATGCCAGTTCATGACTAGGAGCTTCAAGACCTCATAATCCTGGTCCCATCATCACTAGTTGGTCACCAAAGGCCTGAAAAATGTGTTTGTTCTTATGGAAGATGCCTATGTGTGATTTATTTTATTAAGGAGAAGTTGCTGCACACGTCCACTTTCAGAGTTAACACACCAGAGGGTAGGGAACAGATCCAGGTGGAACTGGACGGGTTGGAAAAATGGGCAGAACAAAGTAGGATACAGTTCAACAAAGACAAAAGCAAAGTGCTGCACCTCAGCAAAAAGAACTACCAATACACTTACAAGCTGGGGGATGACCTTCGCAACAGCACAGCAGCAGAAAGGGATCTTGGAGCCATAGTTGACTCCCAGATGAACATGAGTCATCAACGTGAAATGAAATGATCAACAAGGCTAACTGCACTTTATCATGCATTAGCAGATGCATGATGAACAGGTCCAGGGAGGTGAAGCGTCCCCTCTATGTGGCACTGGTCAGGCCGCAGTTGGAATATTGCATCCAGTTTTGGGCACTGCACTTCAAGACTGATGCAGAGAATCTTGAGATGGTTCAGAGACAGGCTACTCGTATGGCCAGAGGCCTGCAGGCAAAGCCCTATGAGGAGAGACTGAGGGACCTAGATCTCTTCAGCCTTTGCAAGAGAAGGCTGAGAGGTGATCTTGTGGCTGCCTATAAATTCATCAGGGGAGGGCAGCAGGGAATAGGAGATGCTCTATTTACTAGGGCAGCCCCTGAAGTAACTAGGAACAATGGCCACAAATTGACAGAGAGCAGATTTAGGTTGGACATTAGAAAGAACTTCTTCACAGTAAGGGTTGCCAGAATCTGGAATGGGCTTCCAAGTGAGGTGGTGCTCTCCCCTACCCTGGGATCTTTAAGAGGAGACTGGACAAGCACCTAGCTGGGGTCGTCTGACCCCAGCGCTTTTCCTTGCCCAGGGCAGGGGGTCAGACTCAATGACCTACTGAGGTCCTTTCCGACCCTAACGTCTATGAATCTATGGTTCCTGATAGAATGGGACCTTGATCCAATGGCAAAGAGGCCAAGACAATTGACGATCTCATTCCACTGCAGCCTTCATCCACCTATACAGCCACTGACATTCTAACATCTTTTGCTGGTTCCACCATTAACAACTCATAGACCCATGGCTGGGAGCTGGGCTGCCTTCTTAAATTGCAGACCTGTATTCACCATGTCACAGCACTGTCAAAGGATATATTCAGGAGGGAAAGCATTTCCATCTGATGTCCCTACTAGATCCTGGTGGTGGTGCTGCTGCTTGGTCCATGGCTGCTTATTTGCTAGTTACCCCACTTATTTGGCAGCTAACCTTCCCTGAAGGTCATTCCTATATCCACCACCTATACATATCCTGGGTTGCAGCACAGCTCTGCCATAAGCCATGTACTAAAACCTGAACTGGATTAGAGCATGTTAATAAACTTTGTATATATCATTAGGCTCTTAGTCTAGGGCAAAAGAAGTTTCCTGGAAAGCAGAAGTCATGCTTCTGTCTCTGTCTCTGATACAATGCAGAACTTGTTGTAGTTCACCAGAGAGACATCTCTGCCCAATGAACAGTACTTTAGTGCAATAGACTAGAACTTCCTCTACTGAATTGAGCAGCTCTGCTAGAATTTTGTGATGTGGAGCAATAGACCCCATAGCAAAGTTCAGAGGTTGACAGGAGGCCAGGGGAGAAAAAAGAGGACTGGATGCCATACTGCCAGTGACAGGGGGTATCTCTGCTATATAATTATGTTCCTGGTCCTTGTGATTTCTACTTCTCTATCTTCTTGGCCCTGGCAGCCAGCCATCCTTTACAATTCCCTGGACCAGCTGTGCTGTTTATGTTTGTTTCACTTTTAAATATTTAAAAATTTAAACTTTTAAAAGTATAATGTGGAGTGGGAACTTGAATGAATCATAAAGATATAGAAGAATGAAGATATAGTAAGCATATCTGAATGTTTAAAAAGCTTTGGTATGACATAAAAGTTAATGGAAAGAGAAGATTTTGGATAAAAAAAAGGCCAGTGAAAAGTACACTTTTTAAAATGTTAATATCACTAAAGTTGTAGAAAAATCTAGATCACAGTTAAAATATTTTTTAGAACACAAATATTTTTAGGTTTCAAAGGCTGAACATGGGTTGAGACACAAATTTCAATACTAGGGATCAACTTTTCTTAGCTATGGACTGAACCACTGAAATCTATAGTTTGCACTAGTTTTAACATTGAACAATCTTGTCCTTAATTGTTCATAATGAGGCTGCAAAGCTGTAGCTGAGAACTGAATCTGTACTGGAGATTTATTACTACTGTCAATTATTCACTAGATAGAAAGAACAAAACCTGGGACAAGTTTTTAGAGCAAACATTTGGAAAAATTTATCATTATACTTGGAAACTGAGTAAATTTGAATTAGTGGTCTATAACCATGTAATCCCAGAAATAATTTTTTCACAAATAGTTCAGAATAGACACATAGTTTAAACTTTCAGTGAAACTTTCAGAAAAATGAGTTACAGTTTAAATAAGCATTATACCCATATATTTTAATACCTTAAAAGGATTATTAATATAATATGCAGAAAAGGTTTATTTTTATATCAGTATGTGACATGAATCAACAATCACCAGAAATGTTTAGGGACCATTCAAAGCATATTGGAATTAAACAAAAAAGCTGTGCCTTGAAGCAAACATGAATGTACTTGCACATTGTTTTGATAATCTGTAAATAATGAAAATCTGAAGGTATCTTTTCTTATTTAAACTAGAACTAGATCTTTATTTGAAAAATGGGAGATGGGGGCAATGACATTGTACCAAAAATGCCAACATCAAATATGATGCAAATTTTGGGAAAGGCCAAGCATTTTCAATTCTACTAATTTTTGTCTATATTGTTTATTAATAGGGAAAAAGTATTCTTTGATTTGAAGAAGTAAAACATGGTTTATTAAAGAGGGGAGTCTGAAGGTTAGTTTTATATATGAATATTGCAAAAACTCACCAAAAAGTTGTTTTCTGTTGAAACAAAAGGTAACATTATGTTCTTGCCCAAATGCATTATTTTTTGCAAAACAGGTAAAAAAGATAATGATGTTGAAAAGTATGTGAGAAGTTTCTCCCACATTTCACGGTGAAAGCTCTAGTTTATAACACATTTTAGCAACTGACTGGTTTATTGAGCATTATATTAAAATGACACAAGGATCTGTCTATAACTGATTGAAAAACTACTTGGTGCTTGAAGAATTCATGTGTACCATGAGAGTGGATTTAGGTGTTTAATTCTCAAAGCTGATATCTTGAAAACTTCCATTTACATTACATTCCATAAGCAAATTCCATAAGGTTAGTTCTATTTTTTTGCATGTGTACAGCAGTGGCTCAGATTTGATAGCTTGGTTTGGTGACTAACTCATGCTTCTGCCTTATCAGGACCCTTAAACTGTTGCCTAGATCCCCTGAGGAACTTGATCTAATACAGTGTTTCCCAACCAGTGTGCCGCAGCGCACTGGTGTGCTGTCAGGCACGCCCAGGTGTGCGTCAGCATTTTGGGCAGGAGCCATGCCCCCCAGCTGCTATTGCTGCAGGCACAGAAATACAGGGAGCATGGCTCCAGCCCCAAATGCTGTCCGGTTGGCCATGTGCCACCCCTCCCTGTCAGCATCCAGCTGGCCATCCCCACCTCCACTCCATGTCTGGTGTGCTGTGGTGCTTTTTTTATTTAGGTAAGCATACTGTGGAGCAAAAAAGTTTGGGAAATGCTCATCTAGTAGATTTATTCAGACCAAACAACATACCCCCATGATGGAACTGGTGTCCTATAAATTGCAGTGCTAGTCCCACTTTTAAAATGAAGCTAGATGCTGAGCATTTTTTTTTAAATGTACTAGAGGTTAGATCACCCATATCCAGTGCCCTTCTCTGATGTGGCAATTCAAACCCACAATTCCCACCAGTAGCATGCTTTAAGTGTAGCAAAATCCCC